ACTACCACTGATACCACTACTACCACTGATACCACTACTACCACTGATACCACTGCTACCACTGAAACCACTACTACCACTGAAACCACTGCTACCACTGCTACCACTGATACCACTACTACCACTGATACCACTACTACCACTGATACCACTACTACCACTGATACCACTACTACCACTGATACCACTGCTACCACTGAAACCACTACTACCACTGAAACCACTGCTACCACTACTACCACTGAAACCACTACTACCACTGATACCACTACTACCACTGATACCACTACTACCACTGATACTACTGCTACCACTGAAACCACTGCTACCACTGAAACCACTGCTACGACTGCTACCATTGCAAACAATGCAATCGATACAAGTGAGCATGGAGGCAGTGATCCAGTGGTAGAAGCTCCGCATTACTATGGCAGGGGCGAGTCCATCCGTAGGACAACCGCTGTTGACTTCCCCACACATTTCTACTCGGCTTATCGACCCTCAGAGGGATGATGATGATGGGTAGCATGTATGTATGTATTTTGAACCTCCCCCACCCCCACCAACAAGGATTTGAAATACGTGACTTTAATAACAATCATAACAAATAACAGCGTGCGTCAATAACAACAGTGCGTGACCGTAAACAAAAGAATAAAATAAAACCCCCGTATATAACCGGAAACGTTTCGGGCAACGGTCCTCCCACATGGCGCATCGGCCGATATAATGAATAAAATGACGGCGACGAGCGTGGAGCGAGTGCAAGCGCGGTGGAGGGTTGTGAGCGACAGGGGCCACGGCCCGCACGGGCAAAGTGGGGGGGGGGGGGGGGGGCAGGGAGGAGGGGGGCAGCAACGATGATGGAATTGTGTTTCATTTCGCGCGAGCGGCGGCCGTGGCGGGGACCTCGCGTGCCCCGCGCACCCCCCCCCCCCCCCCTCTTCGCTCGCTCGCTCGAAAATCAGTAACTCAAACGCGATTAGGATCCATCGACCCAGCCCCCCACCACCGCCTGCCCCCCCCCAACATCCCCCTATCCCCCCCCCCCCCCCACCAGCCATCCCCTAACCCACGCCGTGGCTCCCCTACCGGGCAGCTGAACGTTCGGAATGGGAGGTTGAGTCGGAGCGAACAACGTGTTGGCGCGCGTGCCGTTCATTAACGCACTCTGACCCGAGGAGCAGAAGGGTTTTGTGCGTCAGCTCCGTCCGTCCGTCCGTCGTCCGTCCACAATGGAAGGGGGCCGCTAAAGCTCAGCAAGTCGTTGCAATGCGAGCGAGACTTTAGCACGCTACCGCGTCGCTCTCAGGGACTCGATTAACGACGACGACAAAGAAATGTTCGATTCAACACATCCGTCGATGGCGCTGCGTGGCCTTCGATAGGTGACATTTCCGACAATGGCACTTTCTCACCGCACATCCACGAGGAAGGGCCATCATAACCCGAACCCGTCGCCTTTCGTACTATTCCCCTCTTGAGGCCGCGGACAGTGACACGGACGCAGGAATGTGTCGGGGATTTTGGTCGCAGCAGTAAACGCGTCGCGGCAACGATCGGAACTGGTCCTGGGCCTCCCCTGGGTCGACTCCTGCCTTTGATTGTTCTACGACCGGTTTGGATTACGAAGCTATTCATTTATTTTTAAATGTACATACCTCTATGTAAATGAGAAAATAAGGTGCCGACGGGATGCACCGAATGCAACTTTCACATCCAATTCGTAGATTTTTTTTTCCCCGACGACAGCTCTGCTGGGAAAAAGACACGACGGTAATTAAAAAAAATTCTAAATTCATGGAAAGAATTTACAAAGAATTATAATGGCAGCGGGGAATCGACGCGGCCCGGGAGAGAGAAACCAATCGAGTCACGGTCACCGGTTGGGTGGGTGGGGGGGGGGGGAAGAGTTGGCACTCGCCGAGCATCGATCCACCATTTATTACCAAACTCACCAGGGAGAGAGCGACGACGCGGCGGATGCCCCGTGGTTGATGCAACCCTTTCCCGTTCCGAAACGGTTTGCAAACGTTGCATGGGGTGGTGCGCGTGCCCGTCCGCCAGCGTTGATTTTATTCAGAGGGGAGGGTATTAGCGCCTCTTGTTTTCATGAAGACGTTGTACCGGTAGTCACCGCGGAGAACCGTAGCGGCACGGCCGCCGCCGCCGCACTCTACGATAGCTGGCGCCAAACTGCGCCGCGCGCCCCTCTCCCGCGTGGCCTTTGACCTTCCGATTCCGATGGCGTGAACGTACGTAGCGGGAACGGAACGGGAAGAAAAACTGATGATGTGCACACGTACGTACGTCATCGGAACGGGTTAATATGGCCCACCATTACACACGCGCACACGCGCACACGCAGCTTCTGCCACGGGGCGCTCTCCGTTGTTACCGTGTGTCCCTCTCTCGCCCTCTGAATATGCAAGTTTTCACACGTATGTGTGTGCGCGCGCGTGTGTGCGCGCGTGTGTGTACGTGTGGGGAGCGGTGGTGTAGCGTTTAGCGCGCTGTGCTACGAACCCGACGATCCGAGTTTGATTCCCACTCACGGCCAACACCAGTGACGATTATTAGAACCGGTCCCGGGCCTCCCCTAGGTCGACCCAGCCTAACATGAGTACCTGGTGCGGTGTGTAAACATCGCTACTAGGCAATGATGGCTGGGCGTGATGTTGGCCACTCACCCCATCATATGCCGTGTCAGCCTTCACAGGTGCTCGCTAACAGCACTTGCCCCAACAGTCTGTTCAGGCTATACGGGGGATCTTTGCCTTTGTTTTGTGTATATGTGTGGAGGAGGCTCGTGGAGGACCCTACTGGTCAGTGAGAGGACAGTCGCCCACCTCGGTGGAGAGATGTTAACTACCTCGACTGGCACACAGGAGGTTGTGAATTTCATCCCGACCCTGAAGCCTGCTGGATATTTTCATGTTCTCCCCGTGGTCGCGTGGATTTTTCACCGGGTCCTCGGGTTTTCCCCTAAACATTTATTAATATAAGTTTATATTTGGCTGCTATGATTTTCAACACGAGGCACTTCGTTGAGCTATCATATGTGGTAGCCAGGTCGCTTCTGAAAAACAGCTATACAGCTCAGTGAGCCTGTCGTGGTAAAATACTAATTATTTATTTTAATTGGCAATGGATCGATTGTGTGTTTGGTAAAAAAAACAATAATAGAACCCAAATTTATTGTTTGGGTTGCGTTTTTAAAATTTGGTGAAGAATTTTGCCAGAAAATTGAGGGTTTAAGAAAAAAATGAGATGTGCTCCTGCTTTGTAAAATGTGTTCCGTATCGCTCGGAGCACTGCAATACAATTCCACGTGATGATGCTGATGATGATGATAAGCCACTTTGTTGAGCTATCATTTGTGGCCAGGTCACTTAAGGAAGCTCCATAGCTCAGTGGGCCTTAGCTGCTAAAATGAAAACATAGTTTAAATATAGTTTAAATATAGTTTGGATTGAGCGACTGGGTGTGCCGTCTGAGTGTCTGAACTGAGGGGGGGGGGGGCGGAGGGGGGAGACAAAGGGGGCCGAGCGTGGGGCATGCCACACCACCCTCCCCCACCCCCTTAATAGGGGCTCAATCATAACATTTGCCCCTAATAGGCGATAAGCATAATCAAGGGATCGTGATCGTTTGAAAGTGTGTGCATACGTACGTGTGTTTTCAATTTCCATTTCCCAGGGGCTTAATTTCAGTCGGAGCAGTCTGGGGCTGAGCTCCAGAAAATATCAATAAGCCCCGAATCTGAATACATAAATATTTATTTATATGCTATATATATATAAACAAAAATATATACTGATTTTCAGCTCTTTAAAGTTTTTTCAAATACCCGTTAAATAATAAAAATCAATGTTGCACGGTGCCGAGGGAAAAAATAATAATAAAACCGCCAGCGGTCTTACAGCCTCAGATGCGGCTGTGTAATATATACGGTTTATAAGGTGAAACGCAAATCATAGTCATTAAAATACGGCCCTGGCGAGACCCGAATATTGACAGCCCACCACTCGCGGGATTTCATATGGAAATTTTCCACATAAGGGATCAAAAAAAAAAAAAACCGTGTCGGTAAGAATCCCAATTCTTACCCCGGCACCTCCTCTTCCCACGCCGAGCGGAATAATCGCCTTTTTATTTTGCCCGGTTGAGGGACGGGGGGCCGCTGCACTGCCGCGTGCCCTCCGGGCGAAGGCCGTGGTCCCGGCGTGCGACGGTGGAGAGATAAAGCGGCGCCGCGGAGATGTGCTCGACAACTCAAAGATCCGCGTGCGAGCCAGCCAGCCACGGCATGACCTCCTCCTCACTCCGACGATGCCCGCAGGAAGGCCTGGGAGTTTCTCATCATCTGTGCGGTGATGCACCAACCCCTTGTTGCTGCTGCTGCTGCCGCCTCTCCACATAGTAAATATTTGTTTTATTAGAGACCGAAACGGGAGGAACCTTCTTCACAATCCTGGCTATCGCCTGATGAAGCTGGTTGTTGCTATTGTTGTTGTAATCACCGGTGGAAAGTCACGGAACTCGAATTGTAAATGTTGTGGGTTTACTCTCCAACACACCGGTGTGCTGAACGAGTCACTAATTGACACTTTTTCTGTACGTGACAAACCTTACTGATCGGCTGTGTCGAGTGGTGGCGGGTTTAACGACACATTTATTATCCGCGCGATCTAACCCACAAAAAACCTCTATCATGGATAGCTCCGGTCGCAGAAGCCTGCGTGTCGAATGCCACGTCTTTTCCCTCGTCGAAATCAACACAAACTCGTGGGTGTACGTACGTCCTGTTGAACTTCTTTCGCACACCGTAACGTATCCAATCGGAGGTGCGGGGGGGGTGAAGGTCAACAAACTAAACACAACAAATAAACAAGCAGCTCTACAGAGATGGGTGGGTGGCGATCACCCCCATCGCCAACCGCCCCCCTTACCCCGCCTGCCCTCCCCCGCGCCCCCTCCCACACGGATCCGCCACTCGCCTGCCTCTGCGTCTCTCCTCCACAGCCACACGTGCCCTCCTCTCCTCAGCACCCCGCGCCCTCTCCATCCCTGTGTCCTGTTGGGGGCGGAGTCGGTTGGGAGAGAGTTTGGGGGGGGGGTAAGAGAGAGGGGGGGAGGTGGGGACATCGAGAGGCAACGTCAAGTGGATGTTCACAATGGCCACCACCTCCACCGCAGCGGTGTCGTGAAAGACCCCGGGGAGGGGCGGGCGGGGGGGTTATTGGCCTACTCCTCCACACCGACCACACGCTTTGCCCCACATATTGGTAGAGGGCATTTTCATTTTTTTGACACTGCATTTGTCTTTGGTAAACGTGGCCTTGGGCCTTGTGGAATGGAAGGCGGCTCTATAAAAAAATTCGTGTTGTTATCATCATCATCATGATTATTGCACGAGGGCGACGGTGCGGCCAGCACCACCGCACGCCCAGGGCCAGCTTTGTCTGCCCGGTGGCGACGTTTCGGTGTCCGTCACCGCCGTTGTCGGTCGCGAGCGGGAATCGAACTCGGGCCGCCGGGTTCAACCCGGGAAGGTTGCGAGTTCCAAATCCCGGTTGTGGTGGAGGGGGGCAGGGGGGGTGTGTCTGAACCCATCATCATCTGTCTTGGGTCGATAGAATGAGCACCACTTTGTTGAGAAGTCAACAGTGGATGTCCTACGGATGGACTCCCCCCCCACCCGCCACAGTCATGTGGAACTTCCACTACTGGCTCAGGGCTGTAAACGGGAGATAAGCACCGCCTGAATGCTCGTTCGAGCAGGTGGTGTGTATGGTACACACCCCGCCGCACACAGCGAGTGGGTGAGCGAGTGGGTGGGTTCATGGGTGAATGGCCGAGTATGGTACAGGGGGTGCGTACAGGGGGTGCGTACAGGGGGTGCGTACAGGGGGTGCGTACAGGGGGTGCGAACAGGGGGGGCGTACAGGGGGCGCGTACAGGGGGTGCGTACAGGGGGGGCGTACAGGGGGTGCGTACCGGGGGTGCGTACAGGGGGTGCGTACAGGGGGTGCGTACAGGGGGTGCGTACCGGGGGTGCGTACAGGGGGTGCGTACAGGGGGTGCGTACAGGGGGTGCGTACAGGCGGGGCGTACAGGGGGTGCGTACAGGGGGTGCGTACAGGGGGTGCGTACAGGGGTGCGTACAGGGGGTGCGTACAGGGGGTGCGTACAGGGGGTGCGTACAGGGGGTGCGTACAGGGGGTGCGTACAGGCGGCGCGTACAGGCGGCGCGTACAGGCGGCGCGTACAGGCGGCGCGTACAGGTGGCGTGTACATGCGGCGCGTACAGGTGGCGCGTACAGGCGGAGTGCATCGCTGGGCACGCGTGCGGTGCCATCGGCCTCTCCGGCAAATCCCGTGCGAGAGCCGCTCCACGCGTGACCCAATCCCCTCTCGCGCGCGACCAGCAGCAGCAGCAGTGACGTCACGGGGGCAGCCCGGGCTGACAGCTCCCCACCACATCCCCCCCCCACGCCACCCCCACCTCGCCTCCCTCCCCAGGCCCTCACCCACCCCAGCAATTTCAGCACCATCTCCCCCCCCCCCCGGTCCCGGGCTCAATGATTCCCAGCTCGAGCTGGCAGGCGAGCGTCTCTGTAATTATCCACGTGTCGGGGCTTCTACCGCTCAGCATGCGACCGACGGCCGACACCGCTGATGAATTAATACATTTTTTTTTTACTGAAACCGCATCGTCCTCTGCGCCGGGTTGCGCCGCGCGTCGTTTCGGTTGCGATGACCGACGGTTCGCTCCGACGGTCCTGGGAAAAGTTTCTTCGGGAGCCGGTGGGTTTGTGTGTGTGCGTGTGTCTGTGGTGTGTGTTTTTTGTAGGGGGGAGTGGTAGTGTAGCGGTTAGCGCGCTGCACTAAGAACCTTGCGACTCGAGTTCAATTCCCGCTCACGGCCAACACCGGTGACGATTATCTGAACCGGTCCTGGGCTTCCTCTAGGTCGACTCAGCCTCAAATGAGTACCTGATGCGATGTGTAAACATCGCCACTGGGGGGACAAAGGCGGCCGGGCGTGGTGTTGGTCACCCAGCCCCTCCTGTGCCGGTGCCTTTCAAAGGTGCTCGCTAACAGCACTTGCCCCAACAGTCTGTTACAGGCTATACGGGGGATCTTTGTCCTTGTGTGCTTTTGTGTTGATGTGGGCGAGTGAGCAAGTGGGTGAGTTAGTGGATGAATGGATGAGTGGGTGGTTGAGTGAGTGGGTGGGTGATTGAGTGAGTGGGTGATTGGGTTAGTAGCTGAGTGAGTGGGTGGTTGAATGAGTGGATCACCAGTGGCTGAGTAAATGGGTAGGTGATTGAGTGAGTGGGTGGGTGAGCGAATGGGTGAGTGAGTGGATGGGCAGTGGCTGAGTGAGTGGGTGAGTGGGTGAGTGAGTTGGTGAGAGGGTGAGTGTGTAGGTGGGTGAGCGAATGGGTGGGTGAATGAATGGCTGAGTGAGTGGGTGGGTGAGTGGCTGAATAAGTGGGTGGGTGAGTGAGTGGATGGGCAGTGGCTGAGTGAGTGGATGAGTGAGTTGGTGAGAGGGTCATTTTGTAGGTGAGCGAGTGGGTGGGTGAGCGAGTGAGTGAGTGAGTGGGTGGGTCAGTGGGCGGGCGGGCAATTCACCAAATCTCAAAGAGACGATGCAAACCGATTGGCTCAATCACCTACACGCGAACCTCTCCTCTCTAAACCGCTCCGCTCTCCCCTTCACCGGCCGTTGCGCAACCGACAAGACGACTCCACCTCCACCGTTCCGTCGGCGAGAGCGAGCGAGGGAGCGACACACCCAACGTCCACCCACGGTCCACGACTTCCTCTCCACCGCGCTGCGTCGCGAAGGAGACGCTCGTTAAAGCCGCCGTGAGCTACGTCGCGAGCGGTGGTGGGAGGGGGACCTTTCCGCCAGGGGCTCCCAGCGACTTCGCGCTCCTTCCACTCGCTGCATGGCGATCGGCGCCCCCCCCCCACCGCGCCAGCCCTGAGCCACTGGTGGAAGTTCCACATTACTATGGCAGGGGCGAGTCCACAACCAATGTTCATTTCCCCTGCAAAGTGGTGCTCGTTTTATCGACCCCCAGAGGGATGACGATGGGCTGCACGCATGTATGTTGAACTTCTTTCGCACCGTACGTAGCCAACCGTGCTAACCGCAGGTGCAGGGCAACAAACAGCTGTTGCTGCTGCACGGCTTACCGATGGCGCTCTCGGCTCGTGCCGCCACGTGCCGTTCGGCTGCCGGCAACTTCTTCGGGAACTGCACCGTTAGACTCGCTAACGTGCACTTGCCCCGGCAGTCCGCTCAATGCTATATGGGGGATCTTTGTCTTTTTTACGCGTGTGTACATGCCTGTAAATGTGGGGAGCGGTGGTGTAGCGGTTAGCGCTACGCTGCGCCACGAACCCGGCGACACGAGTTCGATTCCCGCTCACGGCCAACACCGGTGACGATTATCTGAACTGGTCTTGGGCCTGCCCTAGGTCGATTCAGCCTTAAATGAGTACCTGGTGCGGTGTGTAAACATCGCCACTGGGGAGACAAAGGCGGTCGGGCGTGGTGCTGGCCACCCACCCCCTCGTGTACCGTGCAGGCCTTCATAGGTGCTCGCTAACAGCACTTGCCCCTACATTATGTTAAGGCAATATGGGGGATCTTTGTCTATACCTGTAGATGCGTGTGTGTGTAAGCGATGCAATCCCATCAGGTCGTACTCATTTTACCAACCCCAAAGGGTTTATGACGATGATGACAGCTGTTGCTGTTACCGCTGCTGATGATGATGCTGATGATGGCATGGAGTCAACCCTGGCAAAGATTTCAACTCAAGGCTTCACACCTTACCTGGCCTGCTTCGTGTCTCAATTAATTTGCCCAAAGCAAATTGATCAAACCGCGATACGAGTACGGTTCCAGAAAACGCGAGTATCTGCAATTGTACTGTAGTAGCGTATTTAAGGAAATAAACGCCACACATTATCATTTCCTGCCGGGGTTCTGCAAAATTTAGACTTCCACGTCTGTGTGGCTTTTCGGACAAAATAACGAGGGTGCGCTCACTGCTGCTGCTATTACTGCTGCTGTTGCTGCTGCTATTACTGCTGCTGTTGCTGCTGCTATTACTGCTGCTGCTATTACTGCTGCTGTTGCTGCTATCGCTGCTCCTGCTGCTGTTATTGCTGCTATCGCTGCTGCTGCTGCTGCTGTTGCTATCGCTGCTGCTGCTATTACTGCTGCTGTTGCTGCTATCGCTGCTGCTGCTATTATTGCTGCTATTACTGCTGCTGTTGCTATCGCTGCTGCTGCTATTACTGCTGCTGCTGCTATTACTGCTGCTGTTGCTGCTATCGCTGCTCCTGCTGCTATTACTGCTGCTGTTGCTACTATCGCTGCTGCTGCTGCTATTACTGCTGCTGTTGCCGCTATCGCTGCTGCTGCTATTACTGCTGCTGTTGCTGCTATCGCTGCTCCTGTTGCTATTACTGCTATCGCTGCTATTGCTGCTACTGATATTATTGCTATTTCTATCACTACTGCTGCTATTACTGCTATTGCTGCTGCTATTACTGATAATGCTAGCACTGCTGCTGCTGCTACTACTGCTATTGCTGCTGCTATTGCTATCACTGCTGCTGCTATTACGGCTGCTGTCATTGCTGTAGTTACTACTGCTGCTATTGTTATCACTGCTGTTACTATTACTGCTGCTGCTATCACTATCGCTGCTATTACTGCTGCTGATATTGTTGCATTTGCTATGACTGCTGACGAATATTGATGTTGCTATCACTGCTGCTACTATTGCTGCTGCTGTTGCTAAAGCTATTAGTTGCTGCTGCTATTGCTGCTGCTGCTACTACTGCTGCTATTGCTATCTATGTTGCTGCTGCTGCTATTACTACCGCTGCTGCTGCTGCTATTACTATCGCTGCTGCCACTGTTATGACTGCTGCTGCTGCGGCAATAAAGTCTGCAATGCATCACCCTCCACCGCCTCCGCATGCAGTGATAGACGTGAGTGACAGAAACCGAATGTGCCCCGATGTAAAATTAAAATATGC